AGGTGCCGGGAAGAGGATCTGGGAGCCCTGGCTCCCCTTTCCCCCCCCACACCACCCCGACCATTTGACACATTTCCTGTCTCTAATTAAATGCACGCCACACCTTTCTGCTTAATTTCCATGCATTTATTTCCAAGGCAGGAACAATAAATAGTCATTCCCATTGTGAAATCCACCCCAGGCCGAGAGGAGACAGAGGGTGGCCCTGTGGCCGAGCCGCAGTGCCAGAGCCGCCGCCGGCCCGGCAGGACCTGCCCAGCGCCACCTTTTATCGCCTTTTGCTGGGGTTTGGATCAGTTTTGGTTTGCTCACCTCTGGTTTCTTCCCTCCCAAAAGTGCTGCTGAGGTGCCCACAGCCTGTCCCTCTTTGGGACACCCCTTTTAGGGGTCCCCATTGCTTCTCCAGGACATGGAGCTCAGTGGGAATGGCCCGGTGGTGGAGGGAAGGTGGGATAACCGGGTTCTCCAGCCCATTTCTTCACTCCCCATTCACTAATTGCCCCATCCCAGGGAGCCACAGCTTTGTGACATTTACTCTTTCCCAATTTGCTGTAATTAGCCCCAAATCCCATGTTCTCCCAGCACAGGTGGGATCTTGCTGGCTCACAGCTCTCAGCTCTTTCCAAGCCTGGAATTTCGGGATCTCCTCTGAGCTCCCTCCAGCCCAGCACGGAATCACATTCCCAAAGCCCTTGGGGTGCCTGTCCAGAGCATGGCCCTCGCTCTGCTTGTGGAGACCCCACAGCTGGGACCACCAGGCACCACCGCCCCAGGAATTGGGAATGTGGAAGCCCTGTGCACCCCTGCAGTGTCCTGACACACCCACAGGGTCACACACCCATGTCCCCACACACCCGTGGGGTCCCACACACCCACAGCAATCCTTGCACACCTCTGGGGTCCCTTCCACACCCACTGCCCCCTTTGCACCCCAGTGCTCTGCCCAATCCAGAACAACCCTCAGCACCATGACCCTGCAGCCCCCTCCCCCCCCTTTTCCCCCCACTTTCCCTCCCCCACCAGGGACAAACGAAGTCATTTGTTTGGCTTTTTTTTTTTTTTCCGGTGTTTTCCTTTATTAATTTATACAAAAATGGTTGCAAATGGCACAAGCTGAGACCAACCCGCCCCAGCCCCGAGCCCGGGGGCCACAATCCCTGGAGATGGGGAGCACCAGGAGGGCGGCACATCCCGGGATAGCCCCCAGAACCCTGGTCCCTGCACCGGGGGACAGCAGGGAATACACCCAGACCACGTGCACCCACCCACGGCCACAGCAGAGCCCGGGATGCCCCGGAGGTGCCCTCAGGTGCCAGGGCACGGGGCTGGGGGGATGAGCCCGCACTACCAAGGGGGTTTTGGGGGGAAAGGAGCCAACTCCCTCTCTCTGTGATGCTTCTCCAGGGCTGGGGGTCCTGCAACTGGAGAGTTTCCAGGGCTGGAGGTGGGACAACCCCAGAGATGAAAGCGCTGGAGCAAAAGGATGGAGAAAGGCTCCAGAGCCAGGTCAGGAACCCCCATTGCCACCTCCCTCCCGCCGTGGCACAGAGCTGGGGATGGGAAGGGGGTTTCCTGATGGGAAGGAGAGCCAGGAGAGGACAGGGATGGGGCTGAGGAGGGGGATCCCTCCACCCCGGTGGGAGGGAACGAGCCCTGGCAGGAGCAACGTTGTTTTTTCCCAGGCTCATCCCACCGGGCCCCGCTGCCCCTCGCGCTCCTCGGTGCAGAGCCTGAGGCCTCGGGCACCTTCCTGTCCCCCACCAGCTCCTACTTCCTCCTGCAGCCCTTGGCTGCGTCCCCCATCATGTCCCAGTACTCTCCAAACTCCAGCTTGGCCTCGTTGGGGTCTCCCATGCACTCGATCTTCTCTTCCAGTGGTCCCACACACTGCAGGGGGGGCAGAGAAAACATCGGGGTGAGGGGGCTGTGAGGTCCTGTGCCTCCCCCCCCAGCCCCTCCTGCCCAGCCCAGGGCTCTACCCTCACCTTGCCCAGGTGGGGCAGCTTCTGCACCACCAGCTCCTGCATCTCGTTGGGGGTCAGGTACTCCTTCTGCCCCTTCACTGCGTAGCAGTGGAACTGGCTGATGACGGTCTCAATGGCCCGTTCCACGTCCGTGAGCTCCTGGCAGTCCTGGGGGGGGGCACAGGGGGTGAGCACTGGGGGCACAGTGACCTGGAGGGATGGGACCCCTCCCCAGAGGGATGGGGCACCCCAGGGTGCACAGGACAAGCCCTCAGTATGTGGGACACTCCCTGAGGAGTCCCCAGTGATGGGATAAAGCTCCTTATCAACACCAGACCTCTCTTCACGGGTGTAAGACCCCCCCCATACAGATGTGAGACCTCACTGTCCAGATGTGAGACCCCTCATACAGGTGTGAGACCCCCCCAGAGATGTCAGGGCCCACTGTCCACACCTGAGACCCCCATACAGGCACAAGACCACTCCAGACAGATATTCCACCTCTCCATACAGATATTCCACCTCTCCACAGACATGTTCCACCGCTCCACACAGATGTTCCACTGCCCCACACCGGCCCTGCCTGGCTGCAAGACCCCCTCCAGCTGCCACCTTGACACGCCACCCTTCCCTGCAGGCCTGTCACCCCCCAAATCTCCTTTCCTGGCCCCCTCCTTGCCCAGGTCCCCCGAGGCTCAGCCACCCTGGCGTCTCAGCTACACCCCCGGCGCGGGGGCCGCGCCGTCCTGACTGGTTCTTCCTCTCCTCGGCACAAGTGGCAATGGCATGATGAGTCAGTGCCCAGGACGACGCCTGGGATGGGGTTTGGCAGCTCCCAGAGCCCCTGTCCCACCCCAGCAGACCCCGTTCCCAGCGGAGTGGGGGGCACAGACTGGCACAACCCCCGTGCCCAGCTCTCCAGCCACTGAGTTCAGAGGGAGCCGATGCTGATTCACTCAAATCTGCGGTTTTCCCTCAAAACCGCATCGGACGATGCCCATTAGGAAGGACCTGGCAACCTCCAGAGCCTCATCCCGGCGCCCTAAATCCTCCACAGGTGCAAAGGGGTGCGTGCAGGGTGGACACCTCCCGGTTAAAAGCCAAGGAAAACAGGAGCCTTCCTGCTCCTCTCCATCCTTGCAGAGGCTCCCAAAGGTGAATCCCCGGCAGCTGGAAAAGGCTGCCTGCTTCCCTGAGCTCCCGAGCGGCTCCAAACCCGCAGCACCAGGTCCCCCTGCCCGGGACAGCGAGTCCAAACCCCAAAACAGCCCCCAGCTCCTCCACCACACTCTGGCTCCGGGATGGGGCAGAGTCAGGGCTGTGCCCCCGGGGTGAGGACATGCGGGGTCACCCCACACCCCGCCGGGGGTCCCGCTCGAGGACCTTGCGCTTCTTGCGGCAGTTGCACTGGCCCATCCTGCTCCTCACGGCGTCCGGGGGGTCCTCGGTGGCACCGGGGGGGGTCTCTCCTCTGCGATGGGATCCGGGGGAGCTGTTGGAGGGGGAAAGCCAAGCTCAGCTCTCGGCTCTCAGGGATCTCCCAGGACTCCTCCTCATCCCGGAGGAAGGTGAGCTGCCAGGACACGTCCCGGCGGCAGCGGCGTCCCGGCAAGTCGCGGCAGAGCCGAGCGTGGGAGCGCGGGGGAGACCCCGAGTGTAGACCCCCGGCCCACGAGGGGCCACTTACCTGCTCCGCGGGCTGGGCGGGTGTGCCGGGCTGTGCTGCACCGGCGTTTTATACCGCGGGAGGTGTGAGTGGGAGCTCCCGGTGCTCATTTCGGAGCCTGGCCCGGGGCCAGCGTGGGGCCGGGAAACGCCTCCTTTCCCGGCCACATCCAGGGCTCCCCCAGCCAGCCCGGCACGGCAGCGCCGCGTGGGAACGGCCACCGGGCATCCCCGGCTTGGAAGGGTCACGGGATGGGTCACCCCGTGATGGGGTCTCACCATGTCCCTGCGGAGCGTTTGGGAGCTGGACAGCAGGAATGGGGACATTCCCGAGCCAGGGATGTGCTGTGCTGGTGGATTTCACCATGTCCCAGCACCACTGGGATTTGGGAGCTGAACTCTGGGAATGGGGACATTCCCGAGCCAGGGACAAGCTGTGCAAGTGGATGAAGTGGATGTGTCCCCCTGTGCCACCCAAGACCCCAGAGAGTCTGGCCATTGATGCTGTGGAGGTGGTGGCACCGTGGCCACAGTGGCCACTGTGGCATCACTGCCAGAGCTGCTCCTCAGCCCCACCCTGGTCCCAGCCACATCTCTGCCTCCCACCCACCCCACAGCTTGGCAGAAAAGTGTTTGTGGGGTGTGAGGTGGCACCCCAAAAGCCAGACCACCACAGGGGCAATTTGGGAACACCCCCATCCATCACAGAGTCCCCAAACCCACCACCCTGGGCTGGGCCCGTCCCCAGCATGGCCACAGGCAGGGGAGGGGATGTGAGATCCAAACTGGGATCCCCCCTAAGAACAGCAGCACTGCTCAGGCTCAGGGAAACCTCTTTTATTTGCTCCACGTCAGCTGAGTCTCCCATGGCCCCGTCACTTCTTGCCCATTTTCTCTCTCCTCATGGTCTTGGCCAACTCCCCGATGAGCCGCCAGAACTCCCCAAATCTCAGCTCCTCATCGTTGTTCATGTCCAGCTCGCTCATCTTCTCCTCCAGAGAGGGCACGTCCTGTGTGGGGACACGAGATCGGCCACATCCCAACCCACGGTGAGTGGGGCGGGGACGGGGGGGGCTCCTGAGCACAAATCCCAGGGGATCCTGAGCAGCCCCACAGCTCTGGGAGATTCCACGGGGATCCAGCCACCCCCTCAGGGTGCTCCCCACCTCACCTTCATCAGGTTGGGCAGATGGAGCTGGACCAGCTCCTTGAACTCGCTGGTGCTCAGGGTGCCCTTCCTGCCCTCCTTGCCCGCGCAGGTGATGAAGATGTCGATGATCTTCTCGATGGCCAATTCCAGCTCAGTCAGTTCGCCCGTGGCCATGGCCCCGCACACGCTGGAGGTGCAGGGACAGGAGCCGGGAGGGGGTTGCACCCTGAGGGTGTCCCAGGGAGACCCTCTGCCCTCCCTCAGCCCAGGGTGCAGCGGCTCTGAGGGGTCTCAGACCTGCAGGGCTGAGGAGGGTCCCGGGGCCGGGAGCTACTCCCAGGGGACCAAAAGCTTCAAGCGGGACCACAGGGAGGGGGAGCAGGTCTGAGGGATGTCTCAGCTGCCACCTGGCACAGGAGCTGGGATGGGGGACATGGAAAGGGATGGGGAACGTGGGAAGGGATGGAGGGACATGGAAAAGGGATGGGGGGACATGGGAAGGGGACAGGGGAATGTGGGAAGGGGATGGGGGGACACGGGAAGGGATGGGGGGGCAGGGGAGGGGGCGGGGGGCGTGTCAGGGGTCCCCGGCGGCGCTGCCGTGGCCGGGGTGGGGTCAGCGCTGCAGCAGCGACTCCCCACTTACCCCACGCTGTGGTCAGAGAGCTGCGGGCGGGTCGTGGCCCCCGGGAGGTGTCGGGGGGGGTTGGGGAGGTTTCGGGATGTTTTATAGCCACGCCGCAGGAGGGGACAACGCAGCCTTTGTCCCCCCCTCCGCGGTGTTGGGTTTCCTGGTGCGGCCGGATGGACGGACGCACAGACACCGCCTGACGTTCTCCTCCTCCTCCTCTGCTCCCTCCCGACGTGGGCACCGGACCAAACTCGGCCCTCGGCCCCGCCAGGCTGAACTTCCCGCAGCCCCAGCAGCCTCGGGAAGGTCCAGGGGAGCAGGATGGGACCAGGGGCTGAGGGGAGGGACACAAGGGCACAGAGGATCCCACAGGGCTCGAGCATCACCCGATTTCACGGAATCATTTATACTGGAAAAGATCCCCAAGATCATCGAGTCCAACCTTTGAAGGTCATCAAATCCAACTTTTGAGGATCACCCAGTCCAAGCTTTGAGCCCCTTCCCAGGGGTGCAGGGCAGGTCTCACCCCCAGTCCATCCCAGCACGGATGATGCCCAAATTCCCTGTTCCCATCCTGCTCTGGCTCATCCCAGCCCAGATCCAGCAGTGCCACTGAGCCAGAGTGAGAGTTGTGAGTCAGCTCCCACTGACATCATCCCTATTAATAGTGGGCTCTGTAAAAATTAATTAATCCAAATTAATTAGGGGGTTGGGACCCGAGCGCTCCCCTCTAATCAGTGTGTATTTATAACATGGCAGCCCTGGCACGTTTCCACCTGGGAGAGGGAGCAGCCCCAACATTCCCATGGGGACCCCGGGCATGACCCCAGACAAAGCCCCGGGCCTGGCCCCGATGTCCCTGACTGTCACCCACCCCATCCCTGTGTCCCACACAGAGCAAGGGTGGGACGAGCAGCCCCCCAGGACAGCGCAGGGAGTTTTGGGGTCCCAGAAACCCAGTGGTGTTTTGGAAACCCAGGGCAGGGACATTCCTGGCACAACACCCCTGTCCCCTGCCGGGTTTCTGCTGAGCCCTGACACACTCACTCCACCTCTCCATGGGATGGGGAGGCTCTGATGGCACCTGCTCCCCACCCCACACCCATCACACCAGCTCACGGGGCAGGAATTGGTTTCCTGCAGCCCCATCCGGCCCGGCCCCGGTCCCGGGATGACGGGGGGACAGGGACAGGGATGCACTTCCTCCGGCCCCACGTCAGGGCCCGGGATGGGCCATTGGGAAACGCCGGGATGAGTCAGGAGCGGCACCGACCAGGCCAGGTTTGGGGTGAATCACCGGCCCTGGAGCCGGGTGGGCCCATGACTCGCCGCCCCTGGAATTTTGGGGTGCCAGGTTAGGGGTGAGGGAACAGCAGGAGCTGCAGGAGCCGGGAAAAAGGCACCTTCCAGTCAAGGCTGAGATCCCAGTTTGGGGCCGTCTCCGTGGGCAGGGAGGGGTGACCCTGCCAGGGGACCCCCAACATGGCTGGGAGGGGACCATACAGGGACTGGGGGTGTATAGGGACAGGGGCCATATAGGGACTGAGACCATATAAGGGCTGGGTCACATGGGGACATGGGCCATATGGGGACAGGGACAAGGACCGTATAGGGATAGGGGCCATATAAGGGCAGGGACCATATAGGGACTGGGGCCATACAGGGACATTGACCATATAGGAACTGGGGCCATATGGGGACAGGGGCCATATAGGGACCAGGGCCATATAGGACCACAGGACTCCATGTGACAAAGTGACCACGTGCCTCCCAGGGGTTGGTGTCACCTCCATGTCCTGTCCTGGGGTTGTCCACAACCTCCCAGGGTTGGGGACCCCAACCAGGGACAGCCACTGTGCCCACCATGGGCCCCCCCAGCTCCACTGGAGGGGACTGTGGGGCAAAACCGGGTGCCCAGTGCCATCCCAGTGCCGTCCCAGTGCCGTCCCAGTGCCGTCCCAGTGCCCCCAGTGTGGCCGCAGCAGCTCCTGCCATTCCAAAGCACAGGGATGAAAAAGCCTCTTCCCTGTCCCAGTGCTGGGACAGAGAGACAAGATGGGCCCGGCCCAGGTAACTGGAGCAACTGGTTTAGCTGGGCTGGAGGGAGCTCAGGGACTCGCAGCAGCTGGAACCTGTTCCAGGCTGTTCCTGGCACAGCCTCACTGCTCCTGCTTTGGAAGGAGCTTGTCCTGGGAATGTGCCAGCCGGGCGTGATCTCCCCTCACCGCAGCGACCACAGGACCCCCCAAAACCCCAGTGATGCCCCCCGGCAGTGCCGGGGCTCCCCCGGCTGGTCCCAAATCCTGCTCTCCGGGAGGGTTTGGGCTTCATGGGAGCCCTCTGGTCCCACAGCCCAGCCATGTCCCCATGCCCGGTGCAGGGACCAGGGCCAGGTTATTTTTGGGGGATTCCTGGCCCCGTCACAGGCAGCTGTTCCCCAGCTGGGCAGTCCCAGAGCTGGGCTTTCCTGGAAGGAGCAGCCGGATCCGGGGGACAGGGCCACACTGAGTGAGTGCCACCGGTTCCTTCCCGTTCCCCCCATTCCCAGGCTCTGGATTTGGCCTCTCCCAAAACTCCAGGCCCCCCTTCCTGCCCCACAGCAAAAATGGGAGCTGTGTCCTGCTGGGAAGCAGCTCCTGAGCTTCCTTTTGGGACCTCCATTCCACTGGGACCCCCACTTCCATCTGGGACTCACAATTCCATCTGAGACCCCCACTTTCATCTGGAACCCTCACCCCTGTCTTGGACACGCAATTTCCATCCAGGACCCCCATTTCCATCCAGGACTTCCCATTTCATCTGGGACCCCTACTTTCATCCAGAACTGCCTGCTTCCATCTGGGACCCCCACTTCCATCCGGGACCCCCAACTCCACCCAGGAACCCCCTTCACACCCCCCTCACCTGCCCCAGGAACAGAACAGGGGACCTCCAGGACCCTGCATGTGACCCCAAACCCTCCAGTCCCCCCCCTCCCTGACACAGTGGTGTCAGGTGATCTCACTGTGGTTTTGGGGTCCCTGAGTGGGGACTGACCTGGGCATTTCCCAACCGCAGGGACAGGAAGTGCAGGAGATGGAAAGGAGGGAGCAGGATATAATTAGCCCCAAATTAGGGCTGGAATTTGGGATAAAGAGCCTGGCACCACCCGGCTCTTGCGAAAAGCAGCTCCCGGCAGCCCCTCTCTGGGGAGGTCCCAACCCTTGGAGAGAGATCCCAATCCCTGTGAGGGGTCTCAATCCTTGGAGATCCCACCCCCTGTGGGGGGTCCCAATCCCTGTGGGGGGGTCTCCAAGAAGGGAGGATGATGATTTTGGAGGCCGAGCTCCCATGGGGCCACCAGAGCTGGGCAGGCCGTGGGGGTCCAGCCTGTGCGGATCCGGGGCCGTAACGGGAGCCCGGATTATCAGCATTTCCAGGGCCGGCTCGGGAATCTGGTTTCTTGGCCGAGGCGTTGCTGGAGCAACGTCCGGGCTGGAATTGTGGGGCCTTTTGAGAGTGACAAGAGGCCTTTCAGCGCTCGGGGGGCCCCGGGGGACGTGCTGGAGTCACCCGATAGCCCCCTCGGCTCCCCCCGGCCCCGCCGGCTCCCGTGTCAGGGCCCAGGACACCGGATCCCTTTCCAGCCCTGGGACAAGGGCTGGGCACGGCCCTGGCACCAACAGCACCGCTGACAGATGGGGGATGCCAGGGGGACCCCGTGGGGTCAGACCCCGGGCGCTCAGGACACGAGGGGTCCGTGGTGACGCAAAGGACACCAGGGACAGCAGAGACATGAGGGACATGGGCCTAGGGTGGGACTGACACTAACAGTGAACCAGTGCCCACCCCACACTTCCCCAGCATCCCAGGGGTCCAGGCTCATCTATGGGGGGTGCACTGAGCCCTCCAAAGTGATGCTGTGCCCACCCCCATCCCTTCCCACCAGAACCCCCCAAGCTCCGGTGGGGCTGGAAGTACTTTCCAGAGCCATCCCAGTGCCATTCCAGGGGTCCAGACTCATCCCTGGGGGTGGTGACGGACACATGAGGAGGGCACTGAGCCCCTCAAAGTGATGCTGTGCCCACCCCATCCTTTCCCACCAGAACCCCACAAACTCCAGTGGGGCTGGAAGTGCTTCCCGGTGCCGTCCTGGTGCCATCCCGGGGGTCCAGCCCCCCAGGTCCCAGCCCCCGCAGGGGTGGCCGGTGGTGCCAGCCGGGCTGTCCAGCCCCGGTATCGGATCCTCCCGGAGGGAGGGGGCTTGGAGCTTATTTAGCGTCCCCGGCGGCCCGTCTGGGAGCACTCGCAGCACGGGGAGCTCAGGTGAGCACAGGTGGCCTGTGAGGGGTATGGGGAGGGATCCCCCCATCCCAGAGGAACCCCTCAACCAGCCCAGGGACCCCCACATCCCGTGGGTCGATCCCTGCCCAGCACCGAGGGACGGGACAAACGTGACGCTGCCGGGAAGGGGACAGGGCAGGGACCGAGGTGTCATTGGAAGGGGGGCTGGTGGATGGGGTCCCTCCCCCTCGGAGGAGCCCCCCACCCAGCCCTGGAGGGCACCAGGGTGCCGTGGGACCCCCAGATTTGCGGTGTCAGTCCCTGCCCAGCACAGAGTGAGCAGAGGGACCAGGACAGGGCAGGGAGTGGGTGACGTTTGGGGGCTGCCCTGTGAGGGGGGAGGTGGAGGGGGTGTCATTTCGGCACCCCGGAGCCCCCCACCCAACCCTGGGAATGCCCAGGATGCCCTGGGACCCTCAGATCCACAGTGTTGATCCCTGCACAGCGACGAGGGACAGGAGCCGGACTAATGTGACGCTGCCAGGAATGGGAGGGGGAACAGGGTGGGCACACTGAAAGTGGGGCAGGTGCATGGGGTCTTTTCCCCTTGGACGAGCCCCCCACCCTACCCTGAGGGGCACCAGGATGCCCGGGAACCCCCAGATCCTCAGTGTCAACCCCTGCCCAGCGGGACCAGGAAACGCTGCCGGGAAGGGGACGGGGCAGGGGGTGGGAGACATTTGGGGGGGTGTCATTGAAAGGGGACTGGTGGGTGGCGCCCATGACGGGGGGGGGGGGGGTTTCCCACAGCCAGATCCATGGCATCACAGCTGGAAGGGGCCATGGAGACCCTCATCAACGTCTTCCACCACTACTCTGGGAAGGAGGGGGACAAATACAAGCTGAGCAAGAAGGAGCTCAAGGAGCTGCTGCAGAGCGAGCTGGGATGTTTCCTGGAGGTAACTGGGACCAGTTGCAGCACTGGGAGGTCTCCCCTTCCCCTCTTTCCCCCTGGGCTCACCCTGTGCCCCCCCACCAGACCCAAAAGGACACAGGGGCCGTGGAGAAGATCATGCAGGACCTGGATGAGAACGGCGACGGGGAGGTGGATTTCCAGGAGTTCGTGGTCCTGGTGGCCGCCCTGACCGTGGCCTGCAACACCTTCTTCTGGGAGAACGCCTGACCTGCTGTGTTCCCACCCCGCACACACGGCATTCCCAAAATCCAGAGCCTCCCCTGCCACCCTGTCTCCACTCCCCAGCATTCCCAGGGGATCCCGCCGGGATCCAGCTCCACAATAAAGGCACCGACCCAGCCCGGGTGTGTTGGCAGCTCCTTCATTCCCAGCGTCCCCCTCCGAGAGCCTCCGGGGATTCCAGGGAATTTTCCCTCTCCCAAGCCACCCAGGGTCACCCCAAGTGCCTGCAGACATCCCTGGCTCCACCCTGATCCATCCAGGGAGCCTGAAATCCATCCTAGATCGCCCCAGGGAGCGGGTGATCCCGGGCAGTGTTGGGATGTTGGACACGGGGACACTGGGATTTGGGGGGTGACAGGTCAGGACTCGCTGTCAGAGCCTCCGGAGTCTCCAGGACCGCACCCGTGAGGCTGGAGGAACCGGTTGGGATCCCAGTGGGATGGGCTGGGAGCCAATGGCCCCGCCAGGGCTGCCAGCGCCATCATCTGCCAGGAATCCGGGCACAGCTGGGGTGGGATTGGGAAAGGGTATGCCCTCAGAGGGGAATGGGAATGGAGTCCCCAGGGGTCAAGGAGCACTTGGGCAACATTCCAAGGTTGGAATTTTGGTGGGATTTTGATGGGGTTTTGGTGGGTTTTTTGGGGGGATCCAGGAGCCAGGAGCTGGACCGGACAATCCTTTGAGACCCTTCCAACTCAGGATATTCCATGATTCCATGATTCTGTATGATTCCAGGATTACATAATTTTATGATTCTGTGATTCCATGGTTCCAGTAATCCCCGATTCCTTGATTCTGTGATGATGCTACTGCAATTCCGTGATTCCACAGAATTCCGCGATTTCATGATTCTGTGACTCTATGATTCCATGATTGTATGACTCCACCATTCCACAATCCCATGATTCCCTGCTCCCAGGATTCCATGACGACACCCGATTCACGTGACGTCATCACGTCAATATGACGTCACACGGATACCATAGTTTCCCCCCCCTTATCTGCCCCGCCCCCTTTCCCCGGGGGAACACCAATCAGCGCTCTCCTTGCGTGGGTCGCGAACGCGTTGGGAGTGGCCGGGCGCGCGGCCGCCATTTCGGGGGGGCGGGAGCAGCGCCGCCGCCATTTTGTCGCGGGCGGCTGAGGGAGAAGCGGTGGCGGCGGCGGGAGCGGGCGGAGCTCAGCGCCAGCCCCGGCTCCGGCCCCGGCCCCGCGCCTGCCTCACACCGGCCCCGGCAACACCCGCCCGCCGGAGCCACCAGAGACCTGGCGACCGTCTGCTTCGGTGAGAGACTGCCCCGGCTGCGGGGGGGGGGAAGGGGGCGGGACAGGCCTCAGGGCCCCCTTAGAGCTCCGGAGGGTCCCCTCAGGGTTCTGGGGGGTGGGGGGTGTCCTTCTTCCCCCGGCTCCGTGCCCGGAGCTGTTCTCGGGGCTGACGGGGGCGGAGCGGGGATACCCCCGTGACGGTCACTCAGGAGAAAAAACCGCTTAAAACCCCACTTTATATTTTTAAAAGCCCAGTAAAGTTGTTAAAAATAAATAAAAACAGGAGCGAGGCTGCGGGTTGACTCGATTTCTGGCTGTAAATCCTCTCCAAAAAGCGAAGTTTTGAGGGTGTTGTAGGGTGAGCGCAGCCCGGTCACCCACCCGTTAAATTTGGTGCTAATTATAAAAATAAATTAATAAATCGATCTGCAGAGCTCGGGGGTTGGAGCTCAGCACGTTTCCGTAGCATCCAGCACTGGGGGGGGATTTAAATCCCTGCCCTGAGTCAGGTGGAACCTCGGTATTTTTAAAGGATATGATGCTTGTGTAGCATAGTCTTGGATTTTTATTCCCGATTTTGCGCCCTGTGCCCTTAAAATTGGGATTTGCCTCTTGCTGATGCTAAAATCGTGGGAAATGTGGAGGTGTTACTGTGCTAGAGGCATTTAGTTGCCGTTTGCTGCTGGATTTTTGTATTATTACCCCAAATAATAGGAAAATATTCACTATAAGACACCTTTTTAGTAAGGGTGAAATAAAGTAACTCCCTGATTTGTTAGGGCTAGAAAATACTAAAAATCTTTTATTTTAATACCCATAACCTGCCTCTCAGTTCTCTCCACCCAGAATGGAGAATTTTTTAACGTTTAACCATATAAGCATATAATTATATAATTTTGATATTTTTTGGCTTTGTTTGGCAAATTTTTCTCTGAAGGTGCCACTTGATTGCCATCTTGCTGCTGGATTTTTGTATTACTATTCTTAATATTGGCAAAATATTCACTACAAAAAGATAAATTTTTGGTAAGGATGAGTTAAAGTAACTCCCTGATTTATTAAAACTGGCAGGGGGGGGCTACAAAACATTAAAAAAATCACACAGTCATCCTAAAATCATCACAATCAGAACCTAAAAATTTTGGCAGAGGGCTAGAAAACACTAAAAATAAATGAATGTATTACGCATAGAAGTGGGGCAGGTTGGTTTTTTCTCCACTCAAGGGGCAAAAATGGAGGGATTATTTAATATTTAACAGTAGAAATGTAGAATAAAGGTGTAAATTCTCCCTTTTGGCCCTGTTTTGCAGATTCTCTGAAGATGGCTGCACAGTCAGCACCGAAGGTCGTGCTAAAGAGCACCACCAAGATGTCTCTGAACGAGCGGTGAGGAAGCCAACGGCACCTTCAGCTCCTAAGAAACCATGTTTTTATACTTAATTCTCACTGCCCAAATCCAAGCCCACCGTGGGTCCCGCCCTCTTTTAACCTCGTCGAGCGAGCAGGTGCCTCCACACCTGCCTTCGCCTCCAGGTCCGGTGGCACAGCGGGTTAAAAGGGCCCGGTTGCGGAGGGATTGCTCCGTGGTTTAATGTTCGCGTGCCACGGAAATGCGGTGGGATGTGTTGTAAGAGCAGAGACCAACCTCACGCACCCTCCCTGTCTCTCCCACATGTTTTTGACATTGGTATTTTGGCCCGGCCACCGCGCCCGAGGGTCCCACCTGCCCGGGTGAGCCCTGTAAGAGGCCGGTGGTGGCCCCTGGAACCAGCCCAAAGGCTCTTTGGGCCTTGTAAGAGGCAAATGCTTCGCTTCACCTCCATCTCTCCTCTGTCCTCGCGCTCTTCCCGTGGGTCATTCCGCTGGTTTTCCACGTGTGGCTCCTCTGTGACGACTAACGGGTGTCTCGCTGCCCTGCTGAGCACCTTGGGGTTAATTCTCTTACGATTGAGAAGTTTTGGGGCAGTTCTTGCTCCAGCAGCGCTGCAGGGAGCTGTAGGCTGAGCTTACTGGCACATCAGCCCATATTCCTCATTTTTAGGGGATTTATTCCACTCTTCAGCTCCCAGGATGCTGTTCAGGGGCTTTATTTACCATCTCACTGCGTGCTTGCTCTTAAATTAAGCACTAAAAGCACCAAATTCTCGAGTGGCCTCATTTCAGGGAAACAGTTGGGTGGAAATTAGGAGGTGCTTTGGGTGGTGGAATTTTGTAGAATCATGGCATTGTTTAAGGTTGGAAAAGGCTTTAAAGTGATCATTTCCAACCTGGTTCCCGCAGCGCCAGAGCACACCAGGCATTTCAGGGCACAGTGTCCTTCTAACCTACCTCCTGGCCTGGAGTTTTTAAGCTTTTCCCAGATTTTGGGGGGTTAATTTGGCTTTTGCTGTCCGGTTTCTCCCACCTGTCATGGCCATCCCTGCTTCCTGCTGGTTGTCACCCCTTTTACCACCTCTAAACCCACTAAACCTCCGGCTTTCTCATCCTGACTGAACTTCCACCTCATTCCTGCCTTTTCCAGTCCTCGTGGCAAGCGAGGAATCCGTAATCCCATAAAAGTACCACTCTTTGCATAAGGTTCATGGGAGCTGGAGACCCACTCGAGCACCGTGAAATGCCAGTAATTGTGTGTTTTAAGCTTTAATTAAACCCCGTTTTATTCGACCTTGAAGCTTCACTAACATGCTGAAGAACAAACAGCCGATGCCGGTGAATATTCGGGCCACCATGCAGCAGCAGCAGCTGGCCAGCGCCAGAAACAGACGCCTGGCCCAGCAGATGGAGAACAGACCGTCTGTCCAGGCCGCTCTGAAGCTCAAACAGGTGAGGAAAAGCTGGATTTTGGGCTTGGAGGGATGTGGAAAATAAGCTCCTCAGAGATAAAGAGTCTCAAGAAGGGAAGGGGCCGGAGGGTGAGTCCTGTGAGGGATCACTGGAGAAAAGGAGGCTCGGGGAGGATCTTCTCTCAGCTCCCCATAGGAGGGTCAGGTTGGCCATGAGGAGGAATTTTCCCATGGAAAGGTTGTTCAGGCCTTGGCAGGAGCTGCCCAGGGAGGTGGGGGAGTCCCCAGCCCTGGAGGTGTCCAAGGAAGGACTCGATGTGACACTGAGTGCTCTGGGCTGGGGACAAAGTGGGGATGGGGCACAGGGGGGACTCTATGGGCTGGGAAAGCTTTTCCAACCTCAGGGATTCTGAGATTCTGTAGAAAGGCTCCTGGAGGTATAAAAGGAGGGATACAAGGATGGGGAAGGGTCCGGAGGGGCCTCACAAGGAGCAATCGAGGCTTGTTCAGCTGGAGGAGACGAGACTGGGGGGAGACCTCAGGGGGCTGCAGCTCCTCCTGAGGGGCAGCTCCCATCTCTGCTCCGTGTGAGCAGGGACAGGACCTGAGGGAACAGCTGGAGCTGTGCCAGGGGAGGGTTAGGCTGGATTTTAGGAAAAGGTTTTTCTCCCAGAGGGTAGTTGGTTGGGCACTGAACAGGCTCCCCAGGGCAGTGGGCACAGCCCCAAGGCTGCCAGAGCTCCAGGAGCGTTTGGACAACGCTGGAGGGACACGATGGGATTGTTGGGGTGTCTGTGCAGGGCCAGGGGTTGGACTCAATCCTTGTGAGTCCTTTCCCATTTGGGATATTCCATGATCCTAAAAACAAGACACCTTGAGGGACTTGCAGAAAATCCCGCTTTTTACCTCAGATAAGTAATTTGTCACCTCCTGGTGGTTGCTGTTGCCGTGGGGGTGTTCAGTGCTGGCTGTTGATGTCTCCTCTCTATTTTTCCAGAGAAATGTCTCATCCCGGGGTTCGGGAGCTGCCGAGTGCTTCACCTCACAGTCCCACCTCCAGCCCTTAAAACCCCACCCCAGCTCCACCCTCCCTCGGCTGCGAGGAAAACAGAGGAGTTGCTGATTGTTTTGAGAATGCAGGCCTGGCTTCCAGGCATAGCCCTGTGTTTTAGGAGTGCTATCCCACATCTCATGTCGTGTCCCCAGTCCCAGATTGCTGCATGACTTCCGCTCTTTCCCTTCCTGATCCTCTCTTCCAGAAGAGCTTGAAGCAGCGTCTCGGGAAGAGCAACATCCAGGCTCGGCTGGGCCGGCCGGCGGGAGCGCTGGCCCGAGGGGCCCTGGGGGGCCGGGGCCTGGCCCTGGGCCAGCGCGGAATTCCACGGGGGGCCCTGCGGGGCCGCGGCGCCCGGGCCATGATCCGAGGGGCTGCCGCGCTCCGAGGTGGGTGCCACCCCCTGCCCGCAGCCCTGACGTCCCCCTGGCTGTTCCTCAGCCTGAAATCCCGGTTTTTTTGGCTGTTCCATCGCAGGTCAGGGGCTGCTCCGCGGCAGGAGGGGGATCGCCCCCCGGATGGGGCTGCAGAGAGGAGGGCTCAGGGGCCGCGGAGGGCCGGGAAGAGGCGGCCTGGGCCGAGGGGCCATGGGCCGAGGGGGGCTCGGAGGCAGAGGTGAGTGTGCCCAGACCTCAGGGATAACGGGTGTTCAGCTGCAGTCCCTTCTCCTGCTCAAGGTCAGGGCATGGAACCTCCAGCCTCTGAAATTCCAAGTCTGGAATTTGAAAAGGTCATTTATCCAAGAGCTGGTTGTTTCTAACAATAAAATTGAGAAGGGGGGTGAATTGGGTGGGAGAGGAGAACCTGGAGCCAGTTGTTGGAGGAGGGGTGGGGGCAGCCAGATGTTATGGTCGGGCTAGGACTGAGGAATTCTCGTGAAGCTCCCGATTCTTCAGCAGCTTTGAGCGGTGGCTCTTGGGCTGACAAACACAGAGGGACTGGAGCGAGCTGGGCGTGAATCCATGGCTCCAACATCTCTCTGGGCACCTGGAGGGCTGGGGTAGGGAATCGGGAGTTGAGAATTCCTTGGCTGGAAGGTGTGACTGGTTTTCCATCCCTGCCAGGTCGAGGCATGTCCAGCCGGGGCCGGGGCGGCTTCGGGGGCCGTGGGAGAGGCCGAGGCCGCGGCAGAGGCTCCGCACGGCCGGCCCTGACCAAGGAGCAGCTGGACAACCAGCTGGACGCCTACATGTCCAAGACCAAGGGACATCTGGACGCAGAGCTGGACGCCTACATGGCACAGACGGATCCTGAGGCTGCCGACTGAGGGGCCAGGACTGCCCGCGGAGCTTGTGCCGTGCTGGGAGAGCCCTTCTCCATTCCCCATGGAGAATTCAGACTTAGTGTGTTCTTCGATGTTTTGATACTCTCTCTGTTGTATTAAACTTTTTTTGGGATTGTTTTTGGGGGGGGGATCTTTTTCGCTGTTTTTTTTTCCCCCCTGAGGAAAGTGGGATGGATCTACCGCTGGTGACACGTCTGTGGGATGGGGGTCAGGCCTTGGTGTGCCTCTGGAGCTCCGTGGTTGGGGTTTGGGGTGTTTCTGTTGGATTTGGGGATATTTTTGTTATGTTTTGGGATGCTCTTGTTGGGTTTTGGGGATGGCTCGGTTGTATTTTTGGATCACCAGATACACTCCTGTAGAGTTCAGTTGAACCCCCAACCATCCCAGCAGGGCCAAGAGCCCAAGTTTAGCTTTGTTTTCCTTCAAGATGCTCAAATCCTCTTGTTCCACACCAGAAGTTCCCATAGGTTGGAGCAGGTGGAAAATTCCCTTTTAGTGGATTTTTTTTGGGGTTTAAAGTTCCTTTGGTTTCCGTGTTTCTGTGGTTCAAGTGCTTGTTTAATGGAATGGGAGGCAGGGACATAAAATTCCAGCTGGGACAGCGAAGCAGAGCATCAGAACTCTCTCTTACAGCACAGACTCCAAAATCTGTCATTTTTCCCCAAAAAACAATTGAACCCCGTGGCTTGGTGAAGGGTTTGTGATTCCCTTCCAAGTTTGAATTTCACCCCTTCTGTGACCTATTCTGGTTCTACTGGAATCTTGCATTTCTGGTTGGTTATAACAAAGGAGAAAAATAATTCCCAAAGCCATGTTTAGGGTTTGGGCTTTTTCCCAGAAAATGGGATTTTTCTCCTCCTCCTCTGCCATGCAATTACTCTATAGGGGCAGAAGGAAGCGGGGGGGAATGCGGTCGCAGCCCCAGGAACCAACCCGCTCCATCGAGTTGGGATCGGGGCCGGAGTCCGGCGGCGTTCCCGGTGGGATCGGGGCCGGAGTCCGGCGGCGTTTCCGGTGGGATCGGGGCCGGAGTCCGGCGGCGTTCCCGGTGGGATCGGGGCCGGAGTCCGGCGCCGGGACCCAGCGGCGCCGGGGGCTGGGCCCGTGTGTGCTCAGGCAGTGTAAGCGCAGCCGCTGTTGGCTGGCGAGGGGAGGGACGTTTGTTACGGCGGCTGCCATTGGCTGCGGCGCGGCGGCGTCTCACGCTCTCCGGCCGCTGCTTTTGGTACTGAGGGGAACGGGCAAATGCCGGTAACGGGATTTAGGGGGCAGGGTAGGCAGGAGAGGGCTGAGGAATAGGAAGGGGCTGAGGGAAGGAAGAGGTTGAGGGAACGAGGGAAAGCCCTAAAAAAGTGGAGGGAAAAAAGCCAAAAAAACAAGGTGAAAGGACCCCAACCGTGTTGTTTTAACCGTTCTGTAATGGACGGGGTTGGGATTTGTGGCCTGTCTGTCAGCGGTGCGGTTGTGCCTCTAGATGTTCCTGAGCTGAGGCTCATCTGTCCCCACTCGGGACTACATTGCCCATCAGCCCCCGCGGCCTTTCCCACCCCGGCGGACTCGGTTTCCCAGCAGCCCCCGCAGCGCGCGAGGGGTCAAGATGGCGGTGGGGAGCGGCCCCGCGGCCCGGGAGCTCTTCGCTGAGGGGCTGCTGCAATTCCTGCGCCCCGCCGTGAGACAGCTCGACCATCACGTCCACAGCGTCAGGTACGGCCACACGGACCGGTCAGGGCGGGCCGGGAGCGGCGGGGGGGAGCGCGGAGGCTGAGGGGGAGGTAGGGCTGAGAGGGGCAGCTTTGGGGGTGTGAAGGGCTTTAGGAGCACCCGAGGGAGGTGAAGAGTTTGAGGGGGGCACCTGAGGGAGGTAGATGGCTGGGGGAACACCTTTAGGGGTCTGAAAGGCTTTGGGAGCACTGGAGAGGCAGTTTGAGGCAGTAAAGAGGTTTAGGGGCACCTGGAGAGCAGTTTTGGGCTGGGGTTGAAGGATTTTGAGGGGATGAAGGGCTTTGGGGGCACCAGTGATGGACAATACTGGGGAGAATGTGGTAGCTCAGGGGAGTCCAGGTCCCCTGGGGGGGGTGACTTTTCGGCTGGGGGGTGCTGAGGGCACAGATCCCATACTGGGGGGCCTTTGGGGTGGGGTCCAATGTTTTCCCTGTCCCCTCGCAGGGAGAGCCAGGTGGAGCTGCGGGAGCACATCGACAGCCTGGCCACAGGTGAGCCAAAAACAGGGGTGGGGGTCACCTCTGCCACCCCTCACCCCCAGGTTTGGGGGGCACAGGGGGTTCACTGGCTCTGTGCCCCCTCCTCAGAGCTTTGCCGCATCAACGAGGACCAGAAGGTGGCCCTTGACCTCGACCCCTACGTGAAGAAGCTGCTCAACGCCCGGCGCCGGGTGGTGCTGGTCAACAACATCCTGCAGAACGCCCAGGTGGGGCTCTGGGGGGCAAAGAGGGGTTGTGGGGTGTCCCAGAGCCCCCCCCCCCCGGGCACTCACAGAGGGGGTTTTTCCTGCCCAGGAGCGGCTACGGAGGCTGAACCACAGCGTGGCCAAGGAGACCGTGCGGAGGAGGGCGATGCTGGAGGCTGGGGGCTACCAGGGCAAGTGAGAGCCAGGGGAGCAGGTATCCCCGGGATCACAGCCTTGGGAATTAGGGGGGGTGTCCCTCCTCACCTGCCACATGGGGAGCAGGGACCCCCCCCCCTCCGAGTCGTGTGCCCAGATTTGGGGGCGCTGGAATAAAAGTGACGCCGGAGTCTGTGATGGTGCCACAACCCTGAGGGGCCTTGGGGACGGGGGGGAAAGCGGGGGTTGCCGGGGGGGGTCTGGGCACAGGCGGGGGGTGTTGGGCGGCCCCAGGGGGGTTTGGGGGGCGTTGGGCAGCCCCAGGGGGATTTGGGAAGCCCACGGAAAAGTGAGGGCACCCCCAGGTAGGGTTTGGGTGTCGCCAGGTGGGATTTGGGGTTTGGGCAGCCCCAGGTGAGATTTAGGTGTCCTCAGGTGGGATTTGGGGTTCAGGCACCCCCAGGTGGGTCCTTTCAACTTCTGGAACCTTCTCCTGCCATCCCACCAGTGTCATTCCCATCCATCCTGTGTGTCCCTGACCAACCAGGACTCACTGGAAAGGGGGAACACTTTAATGTGCAACTTATGAACAGGGCCAACTCAGGGGCCCTCTCCTGCCGCAGGTGTCCCTGTGCCCTCACTCCTGGGTCTCCATGCTCTCCTCCTCCTCTCCCGCTGCTGGCTCTTCCTGGTTTTCCTCTTCCTCCTCCCCTTCCTTCTTCTCTGGGGGTTTCTCATACGCCTTCTCCGAGGGTGTCACGATCACCCCGTCCCACGTGGACATCTCGGATGCCAGGTCTGCCCCGACAGGTGGCGCTGGATTCCAGCCCCATTCCCACCTGGATACCCCCGGGATTCCAGCTCCATTCCCCCCTGAATGCCCCTGGGATTCCAGCCCCATTCCCACCCGGACACCCCTGGGATTCCAGCCCCATTCTCACAGGGACACCTCCACTCACAGCTGGCATCTCCCTCCTGTCCCAGGATTTTCCGGTAGCCCCCGTGGGACAGGATGCGGACGAGGGTCTGGGCCGTGTAACACACCATGTCCTGGGGGTGGGGAGGGGTCAGTGCAGGGACAGGGACCCCCCGAGCATCCCCTCCCCTGTGGGGACCCCCCTCACCTGCTGTTCCAGCGTCATCACCGTGTGCACCCGGAAGTTGCCGCTCTCACAGGGATCCGTGATGCCCACGGATCCGGGCAGGAAGAGCCCGGCCGCCAGGATCTGGAGGCAGCGCCTGCACATGGGACATTTCGGGTTCAAACTGGAGCATTCCAGCAAAAAAATACAGCCAGCAGCTCCCAGCTGGAGGAGCTGGATTCATCTCCCAGGCACCACTCCAGTGGTTTTACGGGGAAAACGGAGCCACAGCAGGAATTTATCCCCTGGGATTGACCTGTAGGCAATGTTGAGAGCCAGGGGCTGCCGGGTGGGGTTGTTCATCACGGCGTAGTGCCCCTGGAACGGGAAGGGCAGAGGAATTAGGGCAGGAAGGGAAGAATCTCAGCTCAGGGTAAGAATCCCCAACTGGGACTGGGATCGGGATCAGCGCCACATCCACGTCCCCCACCAGCAGGTCCAGGATCCACGGCGTGAGTGGCTCAAAGCCGGGGAAGCGGATCCTCAGGTCCTTGAGCAGCCGGATCAGGACCTTCACCCTGGGGCAGAGGCAGGAGGAGGGTCAGTCCTGCACCACCAGCACCACTCCACATTCTCCATAAGGAAACCCATGGTCCTTGGATCCACGATTCCCTTGGAACTCACGTGGACTGCGAGGCGTTCTCCTCGAACCACCGCGCGTGCCGGATGGCGGCCAGGGCGCTCTGCAGCACCTTGATGTCCACTACAAGAAGCACAAAGTCCCGGTTCACCAACCCAGAGAGGCACAGGGAGGGTGCACCAGGTGCTCCCTCTGCCCCAGATCCCAGTGGGAAGCGCGGCCGGGCCCTCACGGTGCAGCTCCGGGTCCAGCTTGCGCAGGTTGGGCGGCACGGTGGTGATGAGGATCTTCACCGTGGCATCGGCTGAGCTGATCTCAAAGCCCGTCTCGTTGGTCAGCATGGTCAGCACTGGGGGGGAAAACCGGGAATTACGCATGGAGGGGCTGGAAAACTCCTGGGAACACGGGAACTCAGCCTGCATCGCTCCAGAGGTCCCACCTTCGCTGGGGTCCTGCGCCCTCAGGCTCTCAACCACCTTGTTCCCCAAGGCTGCCACGGCTTCCACTGGGGAAAAGAAGGAGAAGGAGAAGGGTTGGAGCAGGGCTGGGAGTCGCTCCGATCCCACCTGATCCCACCCAGCCAGCACTCACAGGTGGGCAGGATCTTCAGGATCACCACCAGATCCGCCACGTTGTGCCCCGTGGTCATCGTGCCCTTCTTGTAGGAGCCCACCTGGCGAACCTCCTCAATTTGCTGTGGGAAGGACAACCCCAAATCCCGGGAATTCAACACACAGTGCAGCATTTTGGGGGCTCAGTATTGATCCTTAATCTGCCCTGGGCCAGGACCACCAGGGCCCTTGTGAGGGACCATCTCCCCAGGGCGCTCTTTTCCCAATCCCACCAGTCCATCATCTCCCCACGGAGCTCTTTTCCCAACTTTGGACTCACCACTTCAAAGGTTCCAGGTGCCACGATTAAGTTGTCAATGACATTGTTGATCTTGGTCACCAGGGACAGGATGGAAGCCTGGGAAGGAACAGGAAGGGGGGATTATCCAGGAAAACCTCCCAACAATTCCACTTGCAGAGCACAAAATCATCCAAGAAGCTCCTCCTGGGTGCTCATTCCAGAGAATTAATTCATTTTTAGGCCACTCCTGAGAGTCTCTGAAGGACTTTGGATTCTCCAGCACCCATCCCAAGGATCTGAGGGAATTTTGGCCACCTGCTCGGCAGCGGTGGGAGCCAGGTCCTGGTTCCTCTTAAGCAGGGCCTCACTGAAGGCTGTCTCATCAGCTGCAGGTTTGACACGAGGAAAGGCCATCTCACACTGGAATGAGATGAAATTCCCACTGGGATTTTACTTTCCAACACAATTCCCTGTTCACATGATCCTACCGGAGCTCCACGAGTGTCCAGGAGCTCCCACCTGTGCAGCTTCAGAGGGTTTTATTAACTATATTAATTAATTTAATAATTTAACTCATTAAATCTGCAGCTACTGGGCCTTGGAATTACATCCCTAAAGGGCAGAAACTCAGGGAATTCGGGATGAGGGAATGATTTTTCCCTGGAACGGGTGAGAAACAGGTGTTGCTGCGGGACCGAGAGGACACCTGAGAGGAGGTGACAGGTATTGGGGTCACCCTGAGGGTTGGAGAGGGGGGACAAACCTCAATCCAGGGATTGATCTGGTATAATCTCCCAAAAAAAATGATCCTGGAAGGATTTGTGGTGTTATCCCTCAACTCTGTCCCTTTATCCCACTCCAAATAGGAATAAAATCCTCCATATTGGGGTTTTTAGGGGATTTGCTCAGTTCAGCTCCACCACAAGAAGCCAAACCCCCAAAACCAGGGATGGGGGGTCGTTCAAGCTGGAAAACCACTGGCAATCCCCAGAAAAGCCCCCCTGGATCCCCTCGGAACGGGGGTTACTCACGACATAGAAGTCAAAGGGGATGTGGGGCACAAAGGGCCGGAACCTAAAGGGGAGAGAAGAGCCCACTTCACTCTCTGGGCGGGGCTTTGTCCCCCCCAAACCCACCCTCCTGTCACGACAGAGCGCTGTCACGACAAGTGGGATGGCCCGGCAGGGCCGGGGGGTACCTGGGCCCCCCCCCCCCCAGGACCCCCCTACCGCCCTCCCCGCATCCGAAGCATTCCCAGGACTCCCCTGGATCCGAAGCGGCCGCCGCGGCCGCGGCCTCGGTCACCCCTGCGGGGAGAGAACGGGAGAGATAACGGGGGGTCCGAGTGACCCCCGGTCCCACCCCCACACACCCCATCCCCCCGCTCCCCGTTACCCCGCCCCGTCCCCCGCCTGTCCCCCCCCCCCCCCCCCTTCCCGGTTTTCCCCCACCTCATGTCTCCGCCGCTCCCAACAATGAACCGCCGCTCTCAGACGCCGCAGCAACCCCCCCTCCCATTGGTCACCACCCTTCGCCGGCCCGCCCTCCCGGGGCCGCTCCCCCGCTCTCCATTGGTCTGGCTGCGCATCAATCTAAGCGGAAGTCACCAATAGCGGCGCGCGGCCGCTGGGGGGGGACGCCGGGTCCGTGAATGGGGCGCGCGCGGGTTGGTGCCTTATGCCGCGGCCGGTAGAAGTCGCGCGCAGCAGCAGAGTGGCGCAGCGGGAGCGTGCTGGGCCCATAACCCAGAGGTCGATGGATCGAAACCATCCTCTGCTAGGGCTGACCTCGTCTTTTCCTCAGCAGCGATCTCGTTAATCGCGTCCGGTTTTACCGCTGCTTTAAGGCGACTTTAATGCACCTTAGTACTTTTTGCAGCTTGTCCCGCCCCGGAGCATCGCGCGGTAAGGGGTGTCACGTGTGTCGTCAGACCCGAGGGCTCGGGGTGTCCCCGGGGGGGCTGCGCGTGTCCCAGGGCTTGGACCATCCCGGCTTTGGACTGTCCCGGGCTTGGACCACCCCGGATCTGCGTGTGTGCCCGTCCACGCGCGTCCTCAACCCCCGCGTGCGTCCCCGTCCGCCCGTGTCCCCCGAGTACCCCCAGTGTCCCCAGCAGCCGCGCGACGCCCCGAGTGGCACCTCTGGGGTCACCCCCCACTCCCATGGGGCCGCGGGGACCCCTCCGTGGGGCAGAACCTCCCACGGGTGCGGAAAGGGGGGGCGAGAGATGCCCGAGCCCCCCACGACCCCTCCGCCGGGGCCGCCCGGAGGCTCCGGCGCCGCGCGGGGACGGGGCGGGGGCCGCGTTTTGGGACATCCCCCGCCCCACTGACGAGTTCATCGGGTCTCAGCGCCTCACTCGTGCCCGTGTCCGGTCGTGGGGCGGGTCAGCGGCAGCACCCGAGTGGTCGCGACAAGACACGGGGAGGGGAGGGGGACACATCGCGGCGCATTCCAGGGGCCGGGACCCCCTCTGAGAACGGGAATCCCCCCCCCCGCCAGCGGGCGGCCCCGCGCGCCGCCCATCCCGCCCGAGGCGCCGCGGGGGGAGCGGCGAG